TTATATTCCGAAGAGGACAAATAGTTAATGACGTGGAAAATAAAGGCAGACTTTTAAACGTTCGAAAAACAAGTTCACGATCACATGGACGCTCGCGTTAAAGGGCTCAGAAGTATTTTCCCCGTCACTCGATGTATCTTCTTACACTTTCAACAGTCCAGCTGTCCTGTTTAATTAATTTCCGTCTCGCGTATGTGCGAGCGAGACGTACTTGAGATTTTCTGTAAGATTGCTATATTTAGACTGATTAGCGACCGGTGTAATCGCAGAAAATTTAAATGTGTAGGTGTATTATTCCGCAATGTTACGTAACGTGGCGAACGATAAGCCCGTCAACTAGACGGATACGACGCGTAGGGATAAGGTATTTGACTGAGAAGGACCGGCATGTTTCTGTACCTATATCACAGCAGCCTTTCTAGATAAGGGATCCTCGTCGCGGTGGCGAGGAGTCCGAGAAGAGATACGAGGGCCGCGATAGACGCGTAGTCGAAAGGGACACGAGTGGGATTTATCGATTTCATACTGAAAACCGCGACCGTCGAAGTGATCTTTCTAGCGTTAGAAGATTTTTATCGCAGGTTCTTACATGAGAAAAGTTATAATAGCGACATTACAAATTGCATAGATCACGTAATACATAATCACACGATTGTTACGTCGACTGGCCAAATATCTTGATGATACCATACATACCAAAGAGGATGACAGAGTCACGGAAGTGAAATAGAGGCTGAACACGGGGGGGGGGGGATTATTTCAAAATCTCCGTAATAGTCTAAACCGAGTGAACGAGTATTCCAAAGCACATTCTAATCGCGATGATAAAAGGGAAGATAACGAGGTATAACACCGTAGCAAAGTACGGCCGAGCGATAGATGCTTGTTTGTGAGAGGCGAGGCACAGGAGCGATCGCAAACGGACTCGCGAAGTGAGCAAGTTTTGGTAGTAAGCATAACTTCTAATGTGTCAAAGAAGTAATCGATTATTTAACCGTAATAAAAAGAAATAAGGTAAAAAAAATAACTTGAGTAGAGAGATACGGAACGATAAGCGTCCCGATCGTACCATCAAGCTGTTTAGTCTTCTGCGCACCCCATTTGTAATCTACGAAGGTAATCACGCAAACCGCGCTAAGCCATGAATATTAAGTGGGCGAACTTAGAAAAAGAAAAAAAAACCATATTAGACGGCAGAGTATCTTAGCTGGTGTACTGCGCTAGGAAGAAAGGGAAAACGAGAAAAAGGAAAAAAAAACAGACGTGTAAAAGACAGTACGGTGTAATAGATTACGTCGGTGCACGCGAATATAAATGATATTCTTTCATTTAAATTCAGGGCACACCAATGGCAACCAATGAGATACGCAAGGAAAATTTTACATGTATATTAAACTCTCAGATGATAATACTTATGATATACTTATATAAGGAAAATGTATATATATAAATAAAACTGCAGCTCTATATATATTATATATATACATACATTGTTATACTATTATATACTAGTTGGTTTTCTTTGAACGTTCCTTATCTTCGAGACCAATCGTCGTCATTTCCTCAATGGCATCGAAAGTTAACTCCTATCATACAGTGAAAATTTCATTTCTATTCTTTATCCGCCGATTTGGATTGGACAAACGAACGCGAACGAATGCAAATGAATGACAAAGGCACCGTCTCAGCGCTTAAAGCCTGAGGAGAATGGCTGTCTTGTACTCTTAAGGCACAAGACAGTTATTGTGTTTCACTTTGGGACAAAGACTTGAAACATAAAGCATTGTCCTACGAGTAAAAGACAGCCATTCTGCTAAAGCCCATACGTTTCGACGTTAAAGCAAGTTGTTCGTTCGCGCTCGTTTGCTCCCCAGTGAAAATGACGTTGACTGGCATTTGACGTCATTTTGACGTTGAAATAATGACAAATAATGCCAGGCTTGCTTGGGTCGAGCTGGATTCAGCTTGGAGACTATCGTAATTTACGAGAATTCCGATCAATAGATAATATCCATATACGTATTTCTTCAATTTTTCACAAAGCCCATTTTAGTAATCACGAAAATTCATGCAGATCTGTGTTGTCTTTACAAGAATATCCCAGCAAACACCGAATATCAGTTACATTGCATGTATTTATGTTACAATTTCTCACTCAACAACGTGTTATATTACCATTTACTTTGTTGAGTGAGAAATGATAACACAAATGTAACCGATGCTCGATGTTTACTGGGATCTGACTAATATTGCAACAATTACACATTTAGAAACATTACGCGATATTAGGATATTAATTTCTCATCGATATAGTAAGTATACCAGCAAACGCCAAAGTAACAATTACATAACATCAATGCAAGTGTAATATAACAGGCGTGTGTTATATTACATTTATATTGATATTATGTAACTGTTACTTTGGTGTTCGCCGGGTAAAAGCAACATAGACAAAATTGTATCATATGAAAAGTAAAAAATCGAGGTGGGGCGTACAATATAATAATTTACAAGTGTATTATAATGTAATTAATATGGTTAACGTGGTTACCCATATTAACTTTCGGAGAGTGTTAGGCCTGGTTTATCATTTTCTGGTTAACTGTTAATAAGGAAGTTCCTCGATTCTCTATCCTTTTCTATATTATTATCTAAGAAAGGACAGAGAATCGATTAAACTGTGATCAACGGTTTATTAGAAAATGAAAAATCAGGTCTAAATACGCAGTGAGAAATGATTTGTCGATCGACGTCGAAATGATGTCGAATCGACGTCGATCGACGAATCATTTCTCACTGGGTAGTGCAATGGGTACCTTCGGTTGTCCCGTCTTTAAAGTATGTACTCTCTAAAGTCAGTCAATGGATTATCACTGAAAACAGTGAATATTCACTGATCCAGTGATAATGCACTGCCCTGGTAAAAATTCCGTTAGAAAC